TAATGTGGCGTATTGCTTGATCCATATACAGCTAAATAATAATAAAAGGCAGAGCTATCGATATATTCTAAATAAAGTAAAAAAGCTGGTTAGCACTTAAAATAATCGATATCTCCATAAACTGTGCTGCATATTGGATAAATACATATATTTAAATAAAAAATTGTTATCGATTCTTTATTAAAAAGTCTATCTAAGGTGGAGTGCACTGATAAGTCAGCAGGGGCCTAGATTTTTGTTATCGTACTGTCGATCAGCCTGATATCGATTGTTGATGTGTGCTAGTTATCGAAAAAAGTGTTTGGCATATGTATACAGTTAGTGATCAGCTTGTTATTGATCGTTATGTTCCTTATTATCGATCGTATTGTTATCGATTGTTAATCTCCACGTTGCTCTCATAACAAATGCCTTTACGAGTTTGTCTTTTAATCAAATATCGATGTTTCGCGTATCTTGTATGATTGATGACAACTGATTGACAATTGAGTGCAGCTGTTATGCGTGTGTGTGTGTAAATGTTGTGTGTCTCTTTGTAAGCTGCTCAATCAGCTGCCATTTGCATAAAATGTGGGTAAAGATGCGCTTAAGTGCGGCGACAGCTGATGAACGGGTCTTTTGCGGCATGAAAAGGAAAAGTTTCACATAGTTTGCTGTGGCTGCTGACAACAGCTACAACAGCAACACAATAAACGACGACGACAACAACGGCAACAACAATGACAACAGCTACCGTCGCCAGTTGGCGTCGCTTTCAACATTCGCGCAATAATTTTTCCAGGCAATGCGGAAAAACAAGTTTTCCCATTTTTGCGAGTCACTTGATTTTTCGTCTCTCTGGTATTAAGGGCAAGCACACATTGTTGTTGTTGCCAATGTATATATGTATGTATGCAATATATATAAATATATACCTTCTTAGCTTCCTGCCTTGCTCTTAGCTTGATTTTATACCCTGTACTCAATTTGAATATGGTTAAATGGGGTCAAATGTAGTTGAGTCAAATCATATTTGAGCTAGAGAACTGTCGAAGCGTTTTTCTATAGCTCATACAGTTCGTTATAATTCGTAAAATTGATCAAAATCGATACATATCGATAACCAACTTTATTAATTTCCGCATATCTGGCCCATGTCATAAGTTGGAGATTCAGGTTTAGTAAACACGAATTTCGAATACTTCGCTTTTATTCGATAACTCTTTTCTATAGCATTGAAAATGGACTTAAACGTTTGCTCAAACATATTGTTGCCTACTGATTAAGGTCGAATTTTAAATGGTTGCAATAGCAACACCTTAGCTAGGGTATCTTGTAAGTCGAGCATTTAATTTTTCCATTTCGCATTTCCCCATTAAACATTTTCCATTTCACTTTTTGGCGCCCGCTTTATGAAGTTATTACGAGACAAACCTTTCGAGTGGGTGTACTCGGAAATAGATGCCTGGGAAAGGGGGCGTGGCACAGACAAGTGTGAAAAATGTAGCCAACATGCAATACGACACGGAAAGACAGTAGTTCGAATAGTGCAAAAAAAGCTGCCAAGTGCAATTGTAATTGAATAATCAAAGGCAATTTCATGTGAATGCATTTTTGAGGCAGGAATCGCAGCTTGAATGAAAAGTATTTATCACTCAATTAGAGCGGAGCACCTATACCTAATATATAGCATGGCATAGTGTATTCAACTGGGAAAAGCAAATCAGCAGTGGCTGAATGGGATACCGTAGAGCAGCAATTACGCATTATATTAGGTTTCAATAGGGAAATCATTCAGTTATTGTAGACTAATAGACTTAAGAACGAGCTAACGAATATACTTATAGCTACTTTTTAGAAATTCTATGTAGCTATGTAGGAAATGTGTTCAAGTAACATATGTTATACGGATAATTACTTAATTAGCAGGAAATATACTCGAGGCAGGCCTAGATATTATATATATAGTGTATTATCACATTATTATGCATTCACTAATGCAAATAGCAACTTAAATACGAAAAAGTTACTCAATTTGAGTATGATTATTTATTATCTTGTGGAAGTCGTACGTTTCATAGACTTTCAGATGCCTTTAAGCTGTGTGTTAGAAAAATTAGTTTTATATTGTTATGTAGAGAGTATATAGAGTATGTATATCTTATGATAATATGTGATATATGATAAGTATATAGGCTATATAAGAGGGATGTATAGAGAATATATATGTGTATATATTTTATAAGTATATAGGCTTTATGATGATACATCATATATATATATATATAAATGATATGTGATAGGTCCTGTAAAAGATGAGTTTATGGAGCATATATGATGAGTATATAGAGTTTATCTGAGAGTATATATGAGGAATGTTTGATGGGAATACACTCTATATATAAAGAGTGTATGGTGAGAATATACTCCATATATAGCGTATATCTGATGAGTATATTGAGTATATATGAGAAGTATGTACCCTATATAAGATAACTCTAAATACGACAGGTACACAGCCACTATAATATGAGTGCACAGACAATATATAGTGTATATGGACTATATAATGGCAACATAGATTTCATATAAGATATATATATATATATATATATATATATATATGTATATATATATATATATATATATATATATATATATACATCGTACGTGAGGAGTGGGTTGAGTGGTGCTATGTGGTATACTTAATATAAGATAAGTTTATCTTACAATATACAAACTAGAAAAGGCGCACACTTAGCTTAAGACAAACTACATTTGTTAGCCAAACAGTTTAAGGCTAATAGAGTTTGGTTTTGTTTAAGCTTACAGAAGTTTTGGACTATTTGGGTGTAACTGTGTCAGATGTCGATTTCGCAATGCTTGATCGTTTAGTTGCTCGTGGGCTGTGTGTGTCTGTTGACCCTTTTTAATGAGCAAACAAATATTGGCTCTTAATTGTGGCCAAATAAGCGTTGACTTCGGGCCGAGTTGTTTATGGCCGTAGCGCTTGATTGGAGCGCAGCAAAAACAATATTCAAATGACAAACAAAACAGAAAGAAAAGACGCAGCTTTAGTCAAATTAGTCGCATAGGCCAGGTATGCGCCCACACAGAGCGTTGCCAGACTGTTCGCTGACAGTTCTGAGGCGATGCATTGACCCGATTTGACAATAACTAAAAACAGTTGGCGTTGGCAACTGCGTCGCGACTTGATGAGATGGCAGCTAAATTAGTTGCCTACTTAGTTAGTTAGTTACTCGAACTATGTTGAAAAGCGGAAAAGAAAAAGCATAAAATAAAGTAACAGCTGGTCGGCTGACTGACTGACTGACTGACTGGCTGACTGGCTGACAACCTGGCCTCAATCGATGTTGCCACTCTGTCTGCCGAGAGTGTGTTACTCGAAATTATCTAACAAGCATTACTCACTCACTCACACTGACGTAATTATTACATTATATATTAACATAAATTTGATTGCACTTCGCATAGCCAATTGAGTGAAACCACAATTAAGAAGCTAACAATAGGCGGGGGCATTCCCATACGCCTAAACATATCATCCAAACGCATTTCACATTCCATTCCGAGGTCCATATTACTATATATATGCTATGTAATCTCGATCTTCAATCCCAATTCCATTGCCTTTCTATCGCGATCTAGGTTGAATCTATCCTGAACCTATTCTGTATCTTATCTAGACGTCATTCATAATCATAAGCTTATTCCTATATCTCTATAGTGATCTACATTCCATGTATAGATCGATTGGCATAAGCTCAACCTCAATCCCATTTCCATTCTATGCATTCCTATCTGGTTTAATTTCCATTTCGTATTCTGTGTGATCTAGTCTAAGGGCTGTGGTATAAACATATTCCAAGTCCCACTCTATGTGATCTAGTCTTCATCCGTAATCATAAGCTGATTCCGAGACCCATTCCATTCGCATTTCCTATGCGATGTGATATGATCTCGATGCCCCATTTCGCATTCTATGTAATCTAGTCTCGACCCACACGCATTTGCTGCGGCGGGGAAATGCTGGAGGGGGGGGATTTTGATCCTCTGTACGATTTCAACACATGTCAAAACGCATTTCGGTCTCGACAATTGCCAGACATTTATGACAGCCAGCACAGCGAGCAAGTCAAGAGATTTTCCATTTGCCCACGCGCCAAACAATAACGAAAAACCCACGAAACGGAATGCATAATGTTCGATATAAATCTTTCAAGTACTCCAAAAAGAATATGCATACCCTAGCCGCGAGTGTGGACTAGTAGACGATAGAGGTCGTATATGGACTATTGTTAAACTCTTCCAGTTCTGTAAAGTATATAAAAAAATGTTGGCTGGAAATACACAGCTAAACTAAGATTAAGATGCGATTATAGCAAAACGATAACATGGTATGTACTTATCGATAATTGTGGTATCGATTGTTTATATTTGACCATGTCAATATCGCTTATGCATATTAGTTAGTTATCGATAATGCAGATCGATTTGTCAGTTGTCTTAACGCTTTCTTATGTTTTCAATTAACGATAATTGTGTTATCGATTGCTTTTGTGTACTAGTTATCAATTTTTTGTCGTGTTTGTGTGTGCTTCAATAACTTCGTTATCGATTTCGATAATATTGCTATCGATTGTCTGTGTCTTATATCGAAAAGCAGCTAAAGTTATAAAGTCCAATGTATTGTAGGGTATATACGTATCAAAAGCACGCACACACATTCAGCTGGCTTTGATAGTCATTGAATTGAACGCAATTGCAATTGCTGTTGCTGGTTTTGTTGTTGCTGTTGCTGTTGCTGTTGCCTTGGCATGCGAGCTGACAGCCATTTGTCTGGTTAGACACCTCGGCCCATGTCTTTGGCTTTGGCTTTGGCCAAGAATGCAATGACAAGTGGGCAGGCTATGATTTAATAGACAAATTCCGACTGTTACATAAATTTTGATTAAATTGTATAGCTCTGACAATTTTTCTATCTATTCGTCTCCTTTCAGAAGCTACAAACGTGCCCCATTGTTTGCATCAATGAGCCGGATACGCAGAGCACCAATACGGAAATATTGCAAACAACGCCAGAGAGCACACTAGAGAAGCCCAAAGCAACAGGAACTGTTGCAGCCAACAACAACAGTTGCAGCAGCAACACCAGCAACAACAACAGCAGCTGCATCACAATCAATGCAACACCAGCAACAGCAGCAGCAGCAACGTCAACAGCAGCAACTGCTGCCACAACAAGCAGCACAGCGGGCGTAACTAAGATAACAATAACCAGTGACAACAGTCAGAGCAGTAGCAACAATTGCAGCAGCAACAGCAACAGCAGCTACAACAACAACATACGCAGCAGCAGCATCAACAACAACAACAGCAGCATAGTGCTGAACAGCTACAACAGCAGCAGCAATAGCAACAACAGCAACGATCTGAGAAGCAGCAACATTCGCAGCAGCAGCAACAATAACAACAACAACAACAACAGCTTAATATCCATCACCAGCTTGAACAGTTGCAGTGACTTAAGCCAAGGCAGCACAGCTACGCTTAAGCTTAACAGCAACAGCAGCAGTAACAGCAGCAGCAACAATTGCCTAAACAGCAGCAGCAGCAGCAGCAGTCGACCCAACGGCAGCGCCAGCGACACCTCCTCGGCTAACTTTCAGGAACGCTTCGACTTCGAGCACTGGAAAAGTATTTTGAGTGACTTGAGCTGTTTCAATAGTGTCTATCGCTACTGGCAACAGTACAGCAGCAACGGCAATTGCAGCAGCAGCAACAGCGGCGGCAACAGCAACAACGTTTGTGTGGAACATGCAGATGAGAGCCGCAGCTTGGGCAACGGCGCCAACTCCTTTTACACCCACAATATATTAGGCTACACCTTTGGCTATCCATTTGGATTGAGCAAGGAGCAAGAGGGCGACGCCCACGACAACAGCAGCAACAGTGGTGCGGGCAACGCAAGTGTTGCTGGCTTCAAGAAATCGCACAACAGCTGCGAAACCCCCTTGCAGAAACACTACAGACAACAGCAGAAGAAGAAGATGCCGGTGTTTCGAGGCAGACGCGTCTGGTGCGGTTGCTTCAAGGTAAGAAAACTCAGAAGTGAAATCTATTTGATAAATAAAACATGTTGAAGTGGAAAACCAAGGAGTAGCCAAAACTCAGCAGTAGAAAGTCTGAGAGCAATAAGAACTTTCCTTTATACAAAGAACAGATCAGAAATGTTCCCAGAATCACTCAATTTGAGGCCCAAATTGATTAGAAGACAGCAAAGCTGAGGCTCTTTTAGCTTGGAAACAGATGTTGCTCTATAAAACAAATATACTGCCAATTGTAGCTAAAGGACCTGAAGAACAGATGAGAACCTTCCATAGACAAACTCAATCTAGACTAAGAGCATTTAAAACTGAGATTAAGATAGGCATTGCTGTAGTCTATAAGATAGATCTTAACTTAACAGAACAGCTGAAGACCTAGGTGTGAGCATAGCCGAAGTCGCAATACCCTTGGGAACACAGAAGTTCCTATATATCTAGTATAATCCAATGTGTCAGGCTCTGACTCTCTGGCCATATTCTCAAGCTTGAAAGAAATCAATTTTCAAACAGATTCCGTCAGCTATATCGATATGATATATATATGTAAATATAGATAAATATAGATAGATATAGAATTCATCCAATTTGGCCTAGTCCCACAGAGAAGCGTATTCAATTTCAGTGGCTCAAAGAATGTTTCGTTTCATGTGTGAGTTGGACACGATTTGTCCGTGTCTCTCATGCATTTCGATAAATTGTATAAACTCTCTTCAAAGACGTCTTTAGTCACGTGCCAATTGTTAACATGGGTTAACAATTGTTGCCCCTCAACTTGACGCGACTCCCTTTACTCTACCCCTGACCCACTGGAGTCGTTGAAATACGAGTGCGGCAGCAACTCCAAATGATTTGACTGGCATCAAATTGTGCACGAAGTTGCATAAGTGAAGTGAATAATCAAAAGAAAATTATAATAAGGTGGGCGCGAGGCGAGACCAGCTTGACTAGCAGATGCCCTTGAGTTGGAAGCCAAATGAAAGACATCAAAGAACTTTTCTCTCATATATTGCATCTGTCTATCGATACTTATCGATACCTCCAGCTGAAAAGTCTCTTAGAGGACATGACTTTCCCCCTTCTCCCAATGCATTCTCCATGAAAGCAGGGTATACACACTTCTTAGAGGAGGCAAAGAGGGAACAGCGGCACAGAATACTGTTGCCTCAGGTGCACAACTTGTGTCGAGTGCACTTTAGTCTTTAAGAACCTGAAGAGCTATGGCAACGGGTGAAGGAGCAATCAGGTCGTTGTAACTGTGCAAAGGGTGAACAGATTGTCGATAGTTAATAGGTAAATGAAGATGTAGCGTAAGGTAGGTCAAGAGATATTGTAAGACTGGACTGGAAGAGAATGGCTATAGGAAGAGGCAGGAAGGGTGAGATTTGTGAGATTGTAAAGGGAGAGAGGGGGAGAAATAGAGAGAGGAAGTAGAGCGGTGGCGTGAGAGAGACGGAGAGGAAAGGAAATGATAAGGAAAAGAAGCGACGAAGAAAGAGGGAAGAGAAAGGGATACAGGGTAACAGAGAAATGGGTAAAGAGAGACAGAGAGGTAAGTTAACCAAAGAGAAAAGCAAGGCAGAGAGGAAGAGAAAGGGACACAAAACATGTGACATTGATCGCGATAAAGTCCAACTCCTTTGCATCCTTACACCCAACTCTTGCCGTAAATGGGCAAAAGTTCCTTAGGGTCTCTGAACGCACTTGAATATGCTGCTAAGCTGAATGCAATGCGCGCGTCTCTCTCGCCTAAGCCTCGGTTAGTTGAAGCTGAACTCATTTGGCAACGAGAACATTTCTGACAAGAGCTTTGCTTGAATCAACTCTAGAGCGTGTTGTGGCCTAGCTAAGACGCAATAAGCTCACATTTATGCCCCAGAAGAACGTTAGCTCGTAGAGTCTGAAGTGGAACCGATTGTTGCTTAGCACAACACAGCGCGAGCTACCAGCGGCAGTCTAGGCCCCTGTGGTGCTGGATCGATTACAAGCATTTCAATTTCAATTTCAATTTCAATGCAACTCAGAAGGTTGCCCCATGTCTTTGTCTTTCTGTCTTACACAATGGTTATGCACTGCTAACGGCCCTCGTCGCTTGAAGCTTGCGGTTGAAAGTAATTTTTGGTCTGTTACAGGATGACGAACCGCCGGAGATCTGTGTGGTTGAGGGTGAGTTCACGCTGCAAACCCTAACGCCCACACAGCCAATGCCGTCGGTCGATGAGCTGGACACGAAATTCGCCGAACTTGTCGAGGAACTCGATTTGACGGCGCCCAACAAGGAGGCGATGCTCAGTCTGCCCGCCCAAAAGAAATGGCAAATCTATTGTTCGCGCAAGCTGCCGATCGATGCCAACGATGGGCCCGACGCAGCCGCCATTACCCAACCACCGACCGCGGAGCATTATATAGAGCGTTTGAAGGAGCTGGTGGTGCACGTGTCGCTGTCGCCAGAGGACTCGCCCAGCCATGAGCTCAGCACGCGCATGGATAACCATGCCGCCTTTGTGGACGCACTGAAGACGGCATTGCGCACCTCGACGCACAGCTTCGTGCTGCGCTTCGTGGAGTTGGATGGCTTGCCAGCTCTGTTGAATCTTCTGCTGCAGCTGGACATACGCGTGGCGAACAGCTCGTTGCATACCAGTTTGATTGGCTGCATCAAGGCGCTGATGAACAATTCGATGGGTCGTGCCCATGTGCTCGCCCATCCGACAGCGATCGACACAATCGCACGCTCGCTGGCAGCGGACAATATAAGAACGAAGATATCGGCCTTGGAGATACTGGGCGCCGTGTGCTTGGTGCCGGGCGGGCATCGTAAGGTCCTGCAGGCGATGCTGCACTTTCAGGAGTTCGCAACGGAGCGAACTCGCTTCCAGAGCATTGTCAACGATCTGGACCGTTCGACATATGCCTATAGAGATAATGTCAATCTGAAGACGGCTCTGATGTCATTTGTGAACGCGGTGCTCAATTACGGGCCGGGTCAGGAGAATCTGGAGTTTCGCTTGCACTTGCGCTACGAATTCCTTATGCTGGGCATTCAGCCAGTCATCGACAAGCTGCGCACACATGAGAACGAAACGCTGGACAGACATTTGGTAAGCCGAACGCATTTTGATGGTATTTCGAGCCGCAGACTAATCCCGTTTGCCTCTGCAGGACTTCTTTGAGATGGTTCGCGCCGAGGATGAGAAGGAGTTTGCCCGTCGCTTCAACGAAGAGCATGTGGACACCAAGAGCGCCGGCTCCATGTTCGAGCTGCTGCGCCGCAAGCTGAGCCACTCGCCCGCCTATCCCCACATGCTCTCACTGTTCCAGCACATGCTGCTGCTGCCCTGTAAGTGAATTGAGATCCTCCCTTAACAGTTGATGGAACTTCGATTTCTTCTTTCAGATACTGGCCACTGCACGGAGCACTGGCTGCTGATTGATCGCGTTGTGCAGCAGATTGTGCTGCAGGTGGAGCAGCGTCCGAGCAGCGATCTGATCAGTGATCCCGATGATCCGGGCAAGCAGCTGAAGCTGGCCAGCGAGTCGCCCGTACACGATCCGGATGTGGCGCCACTTCAAATCGATGTCAACAAATTGGTGCGATTGCTGGTCAAGGAGGAGCAGCTGACGCAAGCGCGCAAGCGAGCCGACGAGCTGGAGCGTGAGAATTTCGAGGTGCAATCGCGCCTGGCCAAAAAGGAGCAGGAGCTGGACTTGCGCATGCAGGAGAAGGAGGATCTGGAGACGGGCTTGGCGCGCATGCGCGAACGCCTCGAGAAGGAGTCCGCTCAACACTCGCAGGCCGTGCAGCGTGCTCAGACCGCCGAGATGAAGGCCGAGGATCTGCAGCATCGACTGCAATCCGAGCAACAGGAGCGCGCCCGACTCGAGCGGCTCGTCACCGAGGGCAGCATACCCGATGACCAAAAGGTGGCTGGCCTTACTGGCTGCAACGGCGCCGTCTCGCCACCACCACCACCGCCGCCGATGCTAAATGCGGCGCCACCGCCACCGCCGCCCATGGCTCCAGCCATGTTGCCGCCACCACCGCCGCCCTGTCCAGGCGCGCCACCACCACCACCCAGCATGACCCCAACAATGGGTAAGTGGCAGACGTGTTCTGTACCTCTGCGAGACTTACTAATCTTGATCGTATTGTGCAGCTCCCGTTGCACCCAAAGTGGAGTTGCCAAAGAAGAACGTGCCACAGCCAGCAAATCCGCTGAAGAGCTTCAATTGGTCCAAGCTGCCCGACGCCAAGCTGCAGGGCACCGTTTGGAGCGAGCTGGACGAGAGCAAGCTCTACAACAACATGGAACTCGAGTCCATAGATAAACTCTTCTCGGCCTATCAAAAGAATGGCGTCTCGGTAAGTTTTCCGCGAGTGAGGAAGGGCGAAGGAACTGAGAGAGTTCCTCCTAGCCACGCACAATCCTTGCCATATCCAAGCTAGCTTTTGCTTATTGAACTTCCCAACCCACAGACCACCGATGGCTCCTATGAGGATTTGCGTGTCTCTGGCAAAAACAAACAGAAGGTGCTCTCTGTTATCGATGGACGACGCGCACAGAACTGCACGATATTGTTGAGCAAGCTCAAGATGAGCGACATGGATATATCCAAGTGAGTCCAATCCATTCTAGCTACGTAGTATTGAGTTAGCAGCGTTTCATTGCCTTTACAGAGCGATACTCTCCATGGATAGCAATGAGCAGCTGGCGCTGGATATGGTCGAGCAGCTGCTTAAGTTTACGCCATCTGCGGAGGAGCGTGCCCTGCTGGATGAGCACAGCGAGGATATTGAGTCGCTGGCGCGCGCGGATCGTTTTCTCTATGAGATATCCAAGTGAGTGGGCTGTCCCTAGTGGAAGGGTAGAAGTCAGAGACTTTATCTATATTATCAATTGCAGAATTCCACACTATGAGCAGCGCTTGAAGAGTTTGCATTACAAGAAGCGCTTCATGCTGACAGTGAACGATCTAATACCACGCATCACCAGCGTTATGGAGGCATCCAGGGAGGTAGCACGTTCGAGACGCTTGCGCAAGTTGCTGGAATTGGTGCTGGCATTGGGTAAGATCGACTCTCACGCAAAGTCTTCGCAGTCTAAACCGGGTTTCTTTACTTGCCAGGCAACTATATGAATCGTGGTGCACGTGGCAATGCGTCGGGCTTCAGGCTCGCCTCGTTGAATCGCTTGGCGGACACCAAGTCGAGCGCTGCCAAGGGCACCACACTGCTGCACTATTTGGTGCAGGTGATTGAGAAGAAGTTCAAGGATCTGCTCAAGCTAGAGGATGATATACCGCACGTGCGAGAAGCGTCCAAGGTGTCTCTCGGCGAAATGGACAAGGATATACAGATGCTGCGCACGGGGCTGGCGGACGTGGCGCGTGAAATTGAATTCCATCGCAGCTCGGGACCGGCACAGCAAGGCGATCGCTTTTTGCCAGTCATGCGCGAATTTCATGCGCAGGCCTCGGTGCGTTTCGCTGAGCTCGAGGACAAGTTCCAGGACATGAAGACGCGCTTCGATCGGGCTGTTCGCCTCTTTGGCGAGGATGGCTCCGTGCTGCAGCCGGACGAATTCTTTGGCATCTTTGACTCATTTCTCGCCGCATTCGCGGAGGCGCGACACGACAATGAGAGCTTCCGTCGCCGCCAGGAGGAAGAGGAGAAACGGGCCAAGCAGGAGGCAGAGCTAAAGAAACGCACAATCGAGCGCAAAAATAAGTCCGGACTCATGACCAGCGTTGCTCGCAATCTGGGCTTGAAGACCGCCAGCAATGGCAGCGGCTCGGGCAGCGATTCACTGTCCAAGAGCGACAACAAGGGTGAATTCGATGATCTGATCTCGGCGCTGCGCACCGGCGACGTCTTCGGCGAGGACATGGCCAAGTTTAAGCGTTCGCGCAAAGCGCGTATTTCGAATGGCTCAGGAGCCGGGGGCGGCGCCGGCGCAGCGGCACCAGCCAGCGGACAGAATTCGCCGCCGCGCCTTCAGCGGGAGGAGAGCGGCAGGGAGCGTGAGCGCACAGTGAGGCGACAGTAGAGAGTCGACAGCAGATAGTAGCCAGTGGCCAGTAGCGGCCTCAGCTCAGTAGTCAAAGAACAGTTTCCCCATTTGATTTCTCACGTTTTTTGTTATATCATAAGCTATATACTTTTCCATATAGCTGCAGATCACCAAATTTTGTAAACTAATGACAGTTGAAAACATGTTGAAGGCAAAACACAACAATTCATAGCAAACAAGCTAAAATATTAAACTAACTATAAAGCTAACTCTAAAAACAAGTTACAAACATTTTTGAATGTGCTCAGAAGAAGAATGAGAAATAGTTAATGTTGCTATATAGTGCTATACACATAGCGAAAGGTCATTATAGCAGATACTATATAGCATCTTATATTATATATATATACATTAGATATGCGTGTGCAAGTTTTGAGGGCGTCTGCGGCCTGCCATAAGAAAAGTCATGTTCATTATATACATATATTTATATACATATATATATATGTATATGCATATGATTATTATATTGTGTATTATCCCCTATTATATATACATACATATATATATTTTTTTTAGCACGAATCTCGCTAAATACTTATATTAACGCACTTTTGTAAAAGATCAAAGTTTATATTATAAAATTATGATAAATAAAAATTATTTAATACTAAACAATTGTCAGGCAACTGAATATTTTAGAGACAACACTCAAATGGATACCCTGTTGAAAGGGCAACAAACAGTTTTAGTCCTGCTTTAGATGCATAAATGAGTTAATAATAACATATATTCTGCATGCTTAGCTACTCTGTGATTTGTCTACAAACGGGCATATCTGTCGCACATAGCCAACCCAATGAACTAAATAATAATCAACAAAAACGTTGCCTACTTTTGAGCGCAAAGGAATTAGCTACGACACTTAGTCTAGACGCGAGCCATTTTTCATGAAGGCAGTTCTGTATGATATAAAAAAGAAGATACCCTAATAAGTATAGCCAAATTAGCCACATTGAAAGATAATACCAAATGTATGATTAAAAGCTATTGCCATTTTTCGCGCGCATTAAACTTAGCTGAGACACACACAGTCAAAACCTAGACTCGGTGTGGAACTTATTGAAGTGTGGGACAAGTGGTTGTTGTCTAGCCTACATCAATGTGCCAACCAGTTGATCTATTGTGAACGTGCACCTGAAGTAGCTGCTTTGTAATTAGCTAAGCCCGTTAAATGTAAGAAATATGGCTAATGATACGGAAAAACCATGAATTAAAATATTTGAGGATAGATATTTTATCAAGCTTGAATGCGTAAAAAAGCCAAATTTATTAAATCTAACCGTGAACAAAAACTGTTGCGTTAAGCCAAGACAAGAACCATTTCTTAATGTCGCTTCGCTGGGAAATTGTTGCAAATATAAATCGTTTGAATCAACTTAATATTTTTAAACATATGCATGAAAAAACATATAAATTATATATAACATAGGATAATATTCTAATAATAATAATAATATAGTGAATACAGTAAGCTATGCAGTCAAACCTACGCAAACAATGAGCTCATATTTCGTGCCGCCTTTAGACAGGATATGCGAAAGTCAGCGATTCGATGTGCCATTGGCAACTGACTTGGCAGAAGCCGCTACGAGTCGAAATTAACATAAATATTGCAGAAAGCAGAAACCGCACAGCGAACAGGCTCAATGGCAAGGACAAGCGCCGCAAGGATAACAAAGGCCAAAGGCATTTGCCAAAAAAAAAAAAGAAACCGAAATGCGAAATGCGAAATACCTGAATGTATGGCAAAACAATATAAGCAAAACAATAAATCAAAAAATATATATGAAATCATAATACACGGCTCGAGGCAACTGTGCGAGAGACACGAAAACGGCGCAAGGACTCGCCCAGGCAACAGCTGTGCCATTGCTTTTGCCTTTGCCTGTTGTCCAAGGCTCTGCGCCCTGAAATTCGAGCAGGCGCAGGAGGCTGCAGCGCGAAGGTGAGAAGGCGCCTCTCATCTTGCGGTCGCCTCCTGTGCGCAGTTTCCTTTCTTCACTTTTCTCTCGCTCTGGCAAAAAGTCCTTTTGTGCCATAAATATAAATCTTAATATGTCATAATTCGTTATAATTTACGAAATATATACATATACATGCACACCTATATATATATATATATATATATATATATATGTGTATGTTTATAACCGCAAGTAGTTCGCGACCCGCTGTGTTCGAGTGTTGCTCGGTTGGATGCTCAGAAAGCAAAAAATTTGAGAACTGAGAACTGAAAACCGAAAACTTAATCCCACAAATTATGACTTTAATCGCCGCCCATTGTCGCGGCTTAGCGTGCCACGCCCATTTACCAAAGTAAACAAATATGAAATTCAATTTATGTTATGAGCTGAGGCCAAAAGCCTTTCGCCTTTGTTCAAAGTCAGCTGCTGACCTCGCGTGCGGTCAGTTTTTCCACTCTCCGCTTTTCACTTTCCCTTTTTTATTTTTATTTGGTTTGCCCGTTTTCAGGTGGGCAGCTCAGAGCTGCAGTTGCGCACGCGCTCGCAGCAGCCGTGCAGCAGCCGCGCAGCTTTTGTTTGTTTAGGCGGCGCAGTCGAGTTTCTATTGTTGCTGCTGTCGCTGACCAAGCGCTGCCAACATAAATATTCAAAAATATAAAAAACAAATAGAAAAGAAATGAGCAGGAGCAGAGCGAACACTGACATGTGGAAAACGTCTGAAAACATCACTCACTGAAGGGGCGAAAAGCTCTATTCACTTCTATTCACAATTGAATTGAATTGAATTCAATGGCTGAGCCAACAATGAATTCGTGCATAACTTGTGTTTGCATAGGGCTAACTGTTGTCTCATTGATAACTGAATTGTTGTCGCTAGGAGATACATTTGCAGCTCACAGATACCGTGTTGGCAATCGTATCTAACAATTCCTCTAGTATCTTCGGGGAAACTATTGAAGCGAAAAGTTGTTCTTGACTCTTGTAACTTCCTTTTGTATCTGAAAGATACTTTTGTATCGCAAAGAGTCGTCTGTCTCTTCGTTTTGAGGTAGCAGCTTAGATACATTTGTATCGCCAATATTTACGAGACACATTTGTATCTTATGATTTGCTTTTGCAGTAGAATCAGAGATATTCGTGCTGCAGACACATTTATGTTCTAGAAATACTATCTCAAAGATAAGCTGTCTTGCATAGAACTTTTGCCTTCTTAATAAGAACTTGAATCCAGAATCTTACAGATAAGCTTGTTCAGAGATACATTTGTATCTTTCGATTGTGTCCAAAAGATACTCTTGTATCCGGTGGCTTCTATATGCACTACAGTCCAAACATGTTTGATATACAGATAAAAGATAAAAAAAAAGTGCAATGCATATAGATAAGAGATCCGTCAGATACTTTTTTACCAATTTTACTTTACCAATTGAGCTTATCTGCCTTTGTATCTTAGATTTGATTAGGCACTTACTTTGTATCCTTGCATTAGTGATATATGCTATTATGTTGCAAAGATACATTTATCTACTAGGTGTATGATTTTGCATTGCTTAGATACATTTGTGTATCTCAGACTTTTTGTCATTTAAAGCTACTGCAGCGACTTACCACCTTACCAGATACTCTTGTATCTTTCAGCTAGTTTTACTTGCATATCACATTAGTCTTAAAGACCCATTTACTATTACAAACTAAAATGGCATATCTTGCAGATACTTTTACTCTTACCTCTCAGATACGTATGATGTCTAATAGCCCTGAGCTAAAGCCACTTGATCAAAGCGGAAAATATCATTGCTTAATGCCTCTGCTATGGAGCGCTCTTCTCTGCGATTCTCTGAAGCCAATTGACGGCAACTTTTTTTCTGCTTTTTGGGCATTGAACTTCAAATCGTATTAGTCAACTTTTGCACATTTGAATATTCAAATTGATGTTCATATTCATATTCATAAACATATTTATGGCTGTAAGCCCAACCCTGATGCTGTAGGCACACACGCACACACAAAGAGAGAGAGAGAGAGAGAGAGAGTGAGAGATGAACAGCAGCAGGACACCCCCAACCCCTTTTAGCGACATGTTTTTGGGATTATAATTTGATATTTTTGTTGAGTGCGCTTAAAGTATGAGAATTAGCATTTAAATTGGCTCATTAGCTCGGAAGGGGCATGCAGCAGAGTGTTGCACAGTCTCAAGGCGCTTACCAACACTGCGCTGCTGATGATTTCTACAATTTTGCACTAATCAAAACAAAAATACAAACCGATCCAGTGCCACGCCCAGCGCGCAGCGGCGTAACAATAATTTAGAAATTAAATGTTGCTTGCCGAAGGACGAGAGCCAGCTGAGCCCACGGAGTAGCGAAATGCCACAAATAACACAAATCAAATCTAATCAAGCAGAGAGAAAGAAAAAGGAAAAACGAAAAAAGAAAAAAGAAAAAAGAAAGCGCAGCCGCGACTTTCCCAAGGCGAAAAGGGTACAACCCACAAAAAAGTGTCTGAGGACAGCGGCAATTCTTGAAGCCTGCTCACCCCTCACGGCAATAGCAACAACCACACGCAGCCAGCGAGGAGCGAGGACCAAGGACATGCTCTAGTTCTAGCTGCCTGGTAGTCGCTGCAATTACACGTAGATTTTCGTTTTCAATTTCGATTTTGATTTCAATTTGAGTTTGGCTCAGTTTTTTTTCTCGGGCGAGCGGGCCGTTGAGGCACCCCGAGCCATGGGTGTCAAGGCGGCATTCTGTGCGCTGTCCGTCTTGCGTCACCTTGTTTTTGTTTGCGCTGCCGTCGTGCCTTGTAATTATATAGTTTACGTGCGCTGTACGAATATATATATAATTTTTTCTTTTCAGCTTTGTCCTTTCTTGCTGCAGCCCTTCATCCTGTCGGCAGGACGACGACGACTGCAACTCAGTGGCTCGGAAATTTCACATTGCATGCTTAGTCTTGATTTCATTCTTTTTTTTTTTTTCTACAGCATTTCAGGCACTTGAGAGAAAAGCTTACAGAAATCTTTATCAAATTTTCTGTTTCAGTGAAATTTGCATTTTGTTGCAGCAAAAGAAGAAGAAGTAATCCACATCAGAGCTGCATATATATCTCATAGATACATTCCATTTCAGTAGATTCATTTCTAGGTACACTTAAGTCTTACTGTAGAAACTGCAGATACTTTTATATCTCTAAGATACTAATGTATCTTGCAGACACTTTGCTAGATTGCAGATACTTTTGCCCATTGAAAACATAATTGTAATTTGCAGATACTTTTGTATAGCTGGTTACATTTGCATCTGAGACTTTGCATTTGGTTTCGGATACTATGAAATTTTATTGATACTTGGACATTTTCTAAGAGATATTTGTATCTTTCAGATATATTTCAGCATCGATGCCGTACTTACACTTGTATCTTAAAGGCTTTTTC